ACGCAAAACCACAAATTCGGCCAGGAGCTCGGCCGAAATTCGTTTCAGCGGTTACAAAGCGTCAATTATATATATATGTATATATATATAATAAATATATATTAATTTTACTTCTGCCTAAAGTAAGTTAATTGCTTTTCAATAGGTGCCATGATTAAATAACTTTTTGAAAATATGTAAATAACCCGATTTGAAGATATCAATAAATTAATTCGAAATAGTGTTTTCTGCTACATTTCTTGCCTTCTGATATTTTGAGTTCTCTTTACATAATACAAATTTGAACGCTATGAAGATGTTAGTAATATCCAATATTTTACACTTCTTCAAAATTTTGTTTCTTTTAAATTCGAAAAGTTTTTATCATCGAAGTTATTGCAAGTACAAATTTGTTTGACTTAAAAAAAAAAACTTTAGAAGTCGTACCTTAGATGCTCAACTGTGTCAGTCTTTTGATTTCTTGATAAATACAAACATATCTGTTTATATTGTACATGTATGGGGGCTTAGAAAACTAATAAATGGTTTCCTAAAAAGATGTGTTATTTTGAATAGCCTGCTATTTCGGTTGATGTCACTTTTGGAGCTGTAATTTTTTGACATTTGACAAGTAAATACTACGCCAGTGATAATAATAGAACGAAAAATGCTTCAACAACACATTGAAATGATTAAAATTCACTATATATATTTCATGGAAAAACCATTTTGAAATGGAATGGAGAGATGATTAAATTTTTTATGGCAGGAATCAGATTGTATTGATCTTGACAAGGTCTAAGTTTAACAAGGCGGCACTAATTATTTAAAATTGAATAAGTTTTAAAGTACTTTTTTCTAAAGGCGGTCGCATTTCGACAAGGAATTTACACTCGGAGTGGTAGATTTCTGAAAATAAATACATAAATAGTAATTCATCAGTTATTCCAAAGCAGCTTAGAACTGTAGGTTCCTCCACTCGTTTAAACATAATAAGAACAAGATGCAAGCCATGAATAAGCGAAGGACCTAGGACAACTATCGGCCAGAATTATAAACTTATTTCTTTCAAAATGAAATTTACCTCATGCGTAACTCCGCAAATGGAATTAAACCATATTTATTTGATTATCAAAAGAGGGTTAACATGTACACAATTTCGAACAATTGTTTTTACAATTTACAATTTTAAAACTGTTTCTGCGGGAGGTGGACAAAGTTCTGACTTATTCGAATAAAAGATAAGTGGCAGCGGGCATTTTAAAATACTTTACTTTACCTGATGAAGCTTAAAAAATAATTTCCGTACAATTTTAAGTTGTAATAAAGAATAAGTATCTAATCCCTGACCACAGATAGGTCAATAATATAATAAGAAATTAAATATTTTACGTCGAAACTTGATTAGAAATTTCCGTATCCTATCCCCTCTCCTACAATACCAATCACAATACCAAAATTAAACAAAATACAGAAAGTTATAGAAAGTTACGACGGCGTCTTCTAGCACGCACTTTTAAAATTTCTAGCAATAGAAAAAAAATTGAAATTTTATTTGCCATAATTTATTTTAATTTATTTCAATGGTTTTAACATATTATATACATATGAAAGACAGAGAAGGCAAGAGAATTCTTAAAAACAAGCAATTTTTATTTCCACAAGGTGAACTTTTATACACCTTTTAAACTTCTTTTTGTGATACGGGCTATGAACTCATATTAAAGTTGCTGCCCTCACTCAACAAGTAAAAAAGATAATTTTTTATTTTGTGCAATTTTGTAAATCCTTAGAAAGAAGCAACTTTCAAAATTAAGTGCAATTCTATTTCCAAATATTTCGGTATAAAACGAAATTCAACTACGAATCGTAAGATAGCCATTTTGTAAACTGTACTAAAATTTAAGCTGAATTCAAGTAGATAGCAACCCAAAAATTTACGGAAACTAGTCAAGTCTATTTCGAGATCTTTTAAGAGCTGTTGGAGAGTTTTTCAAAAAAAAAAAAACATAAAATTTAGAAAAAATCATAAAATCTTTATTTAATGTTTGAAAAATATATCATACAAATGTTGACCGTGACTGCGCCTCAAATGGTGCATCCGCTTAGTCCAATTTTGGCATACTTTTTCCACTCTTTCCAACGTTTCGGCCGGTATCTTATGAATAAATGCTTCAATGTTGTACTCCAATGGGTCATTTGAAGCGGGCTCATCTGTATAGACATTCGTTTTAACATAGCCCCCTTAAAAATAGTCTATGGGCGTTAAATCGGACGATCACGTTTGGGAACGTGATTTAAAATGTTCACCGAACTCGTCTCTCAATATGTCCATTATTACGACTGCTCTGTGACATGTGGCACTGTTTTGTTAACACCACATCTTGTACAAACCAAGCTCTTGTAAACGATCATGGTCTAAGTATGGTGAAGCGCCACAAACCATTTCAAAAGCTGATATTCACCAAAACAGATTCAGACTGTCAGTTTGGTGGGACTGGAAGGGTGTGGTATATTTTGGGCTTCTTCCAAGGAACCAAATGATTAATTCGGATGTCAACTTTGAACAATTAGATAAACTTTTTTTTATAATGTTTTATTGAGTATTTCCTTTTTGGAAACTAACAACTATTTCGAACATCTTAAAGCTCATTCTTATTCCTAGAACAAATTAATCATTACCACTGTACAGATTAACAAAGTAAGCAAAGTGCAATAAATTACGAATATAACTTAGATTTATCAAAGAATGTGTTTATATAGATATGCTTGATATATTCCAACCACTCTGTGAATTAATTAGTTTGTAGGCTTGGCAAAATACAATTATGCCAGAAAATTTTTCATCATTTTCTGCAACTATTAGCAATTTATCAAAATATTAGTCGTCGAGTAGCATCCATCCCATACCATACTCTATAGAATGCGTCTTAATAATTCTTAAAGTTCTTTTATATCGGTCTTAAGTAACATAAAAATAACTCATTTCATTAAAAAAAGCGAAAGTCTTTCGAAACCGAAAGTTACCGACCGATTGACTTGAAATTTCGTCAGATTATTTCTATGATTCCCGGAAAAGTTTACAAAAAATTTCTGGTAGTGGACCAGGGGCTGACCTATTCGAGAAAACTTCTTATGTTCCCCCGGAATGGATGTTCTCCAAAACTTACCGCCCGATTGACTTAAAATTTCTTCGGATAATTTCTATGCTTTCTGTAAATGCTTTTCAAAAAAAAATTTTTCTCGTAATGTACCAGGGACTGACATGTTTAAAAAAAATTATTTGTAGATGGAATTACTTAGAATTCGGTACAAAATTAGCTTCCTGCTTAGATTCTTTCCAGTAAAAATCTTATTCGTGGTTCTATTTACTTGAAATTCGGTGCATAGGTGGCTTTTTGATCCGATTAGCAGGAAAATAATTATTTTCTCTAGAAAGTATACCAGGGACTGGCCTATTAAAAATTTGTTATTTTTGTTATTTATGGTTCCATTTAATTGAAATTTGGTGAATATGTGGCTTTTTGCTTAGATGAGGAAGTGAACAGGGAACTGGCCTATTAAAAAATGTGGACATTTCATTCGACCAACATCAATGGTAAAACGAAAATTTTGTATTCCCAAAAGTATAGAGTAAGTCAGAAATATATTCTATTATATTAAATAACTTTTTGGATGTTAGTACGGCACCAGGATTTGAACCCGATCCTTCCCAACGGCGATACGCAATGCTAACCACTCGGCTACGGCAGCCATCACAACCAAATTTTAAATATCTTATCATGTGATTGTATTCATTAATGCATTATTCGCTTTGCTGTGCATAGATTTAATTAAGTTATGAACAGTGACATTGAACTTATATTTGAGTTAAGGGACGGTGGGTTACTACTTTTAGGAAAAGATAGGAGAAATGCAGACAAATTGGTATCATATAAAGCATTACCGGGCAAATGTAAACTTGAATGCAAATGAAACTTGAAGGCAACTAAGCAAATGGAAAGTCAGATTCAAATTCAACAATTTCGTTAAGTCATTATTACTTCTAAACGCAAACCTCAAGGGTGCCCTTTTCATCATTTATGCTAATAAGAGATTGGTCTCAAAAGCAAACAGTAGTAATGGCTTTCTTAACTCAAACATTTGCTATGTTATGTAACTGACTTAAATCCTCAGGCACGACAAATTTTTGCGACCAAATCTAAACTACAACATATTTATAAAAAAAACATCATTGTAATACACCTTCTATTAACAGATAGTTTCAATTTTTAGGATTAATATCAGAGGCTTATAATATCCTCATTTAAGCAACATTGTCAGTTTTTAAGAAAAAAAACTGCTGGTATTATTACTTCTTCTTATATCTTAGTGTGCGAAAGGCCTGTTTGATTTTTCATGATTTGAATATTTTGTTTTACTACAAAGAAAAATAGTGAAATTGAAAGCTGTTTCACAGATCACCACGTCTCCTCATCAGACTCCAGGCATCAAACTAACGGATTTTGAATTAATAAGCGAGTACTTTACCACTGCGCCTACATCACCCGTGTAATCTGTTGTTGTAAAACACAGAAAATTCAAATTTAAAGGGGAATGTTTATCATCATCCAAAAAAATATTATTTGGTATATATTTTTTGAAGATTATCTATTTCAAATGGAAGGTAAGGCTACGTCTCAGTCCACCCGTTTAGTCCAATTTTTGTAGATTCGTTTGAGCATTTCGACTGGTAACTGTTGAATGATACCCGGGATGATTTGCTTGAAGGGGCATTGTCCGCATAGATTCACCGTGTGATATCACATGATCTACCTGTCTAACAGCCCCTAACATTGAATTATCTGCTCACCGCAGTGTTCTCTCAATAAATCCATTGATTTATGCTATGTGTGGGAAGTGGCGCCATCTTGTTGAAACCAAATGACGCGAGTCAAACGTCATGCAATATGTATAAATATATATGTATAATATTCTTATAACATTAAAAAATTAACAAATTCAAATCTTATTGTTTATAGGATGATAAGCCAACAACGCCAAAAATACAACCACCGGCTCCAGGAGAGCCACCTAAAATCGAGGTTGTACGTGAAAAAAGACCTTCACTTGCACCTGAACCTGCAAGTCGTCGTGGCTCACTGATACCACCTGAGATGGGACGCCGCCCATCGCTTATAATAAATGACGAGGTATGTATTATTAGCAAGAGAACTAAATTTAATACAAGTGCTGTGGCGGAAAAGTTTCGTAAAGTTTTTTTTGATGTATTAATTATTTTACTAAGAGTGCTTGGGATTTTAGTTGAAATCCATTGATGAAAATTTAAAAGAAAAGAAGAATATTATATTTATATATATATTAAAAATTAGATGAACGGCGCCTTAATGCAGTTATATAAAAAGTCTGTCGTCAAAATGTTAGATGTATTAAATGTAAACATCATCGCATTCACTCAACTTGAAATTTTATATGCACTAAAATAATTAAACTACATAGCATTGTACAACTCAGAAACTTTGTGTTATGGCTTCTTCATACGCCGCAGATGATACGACGATTTACATATTCTTAACGCGCACGAAAATTTAAAAAAAAAAATAATATTAAATTGCTTTTCATTTTAAGTGGACTGTTAGCTACAGATCTATGTATGAAAGTATGCACGTTAATAACATTAAATGTTATGTGCTTGAATGTAAAGCCATTATACTTAGGTCCCTTAAATTTCACAGATAATATATTTTAAATAAAACTTACGTTCCTTACAACAAATGTACATACGAATGTATATGTAATACATTTTTTCTTACATTTAAGATTATGACAATACTGAATAACTCGTGTATTGCTTTTATTTGTTTATATTCCAATCCAACAAACACCTCAAATTGACCTCAACTTGCTAAAAAATGTTCGCAAAAATCATGAAACAAAAATTAAAAACTAAAAAAAAATTATCGTCTATTACAACACGTTGCACCACCATACATGTACATGTACATTCGCCACACTTACAAAACCAAATATTTACCTCAACCTACAACACCATCAATGACATCTAAAACTACAATTCTACACACTTCATCTGTCCATTTAGAAGAAACTGCGACCAGGTGAAGTGGCGGATAACAGGGTAAGTAGCTAAGCAACAACACATACCTGCTAACCTTTTGGCAAAACTCGCGAAACCCTCCAGTACATAAAAGTACCATGCTTTTTTTAACTTTTGATGTCCTATAAAATGACTATTTTAAGTTTTAGATCAGAAATATATCAGTTTCATATAAATAAATTTTCGAAATGTGGAAAAATAAATAACTGAAATTTCAGGAGAAATTATTTTATTTTATTTTATATTAGATCATTTACAATAAACTGAAATATTATTGATTGACCGTTAGAGTTCAAGACTTTGTTGAAACATTTTCGAGCTGTTCGAGGATTTGAACTACTTCTTAGAGTGTTTTATGGAAAAATCATATAATTTTTCTTTACCCAAAGTGCTTATGCAAAATAAAAACATCGTCGAAATATCGAAAAATAAAATATAATTGTTGCTCTATGACTCCACATGTTCAAATATTGAAAGAAAAAAATATTCAGCAGTTGCGCATTGAACAAGTTTTAATCATGTACCTACGGCTACTCGTATCATAAATCTACTGCTTTCCACTTGTGCACGAAGGAATTTTTAGATTTTTGGAATAATACAAATCAAATTTCTCTCCAGAACCATTCTCAACTAATGTTTTGATGACCAGCTGAAAGTTTCTTTTGTATACGTATTGTATATGTATGTATACATTATTACATTATTAGAAATATTCGCATAAATCCTTTTTAATATACATTTTTACTTAAATGTAAACAACGTCTTGAATAAAGATACTTCCTAATTACAATTTATACATACTGTATTTTTGACATATGGTATGTAGATTTTATCTATACTTAAATAAATCAAACTATGTTTCAATAGATTTAAAATATATTCAAAAATATACAAACAATTTATAATTTCAAAGCAAAAAAGGAACTTTACGCATGCTAATACACGTTTGTTTTTAATTCTGTTGTACTGATTCCTTAGGGGTATTTGCTTGACCTTGCACGATGCAAAACCGTTACATATTTGATAACAAATGACACAGTTTATTTGAAGTTTCAAACTTCTGCGAATGAAGAGAAGTTTTGAGTTTGTTTTATGAATGCCGCATACCTCCGAAAAAGACAGAATAATTGATTTTATTATTGGAGCAGCTGCTTTAGATATTCTGCATAAGGATGGTAATTATTTACTTGATTTGTTAAACTTTAAAAAATATACTTTTACAAGCATTTACTTCGTCACACTTTATTGCAAGAAAATAAATACGGCGTCAGTCGTAGCATATTTTGCAGCTATTGCATAAAATTTTTAACGTGTGTTTGGTTTTTGTGGTATTGCAGGTATTGTATTTAAACAATCCATGCAATCCGTGCACCGTCTCATGCTTATGCAAGGTAAAGAGAATACCCCTATTATTCGGTACACAATTTCTTCAAAAGTTGTACTAAGCAAATGCTGTTACTAAGGCTGTTGCAAACTTTATGAAATTTAATTCAATTTCAATTCGTATCGTTTTTTAAATACGAATACTTTTTTGGATTAAACAAAACAACAAACTTTTAAGAATCTTTATATAGAAGAACCGTTAATAATAGATGTCTTCAAATGGTAGCGGCTCTAGAGTAATGGCCAAAAATTAATTGTAGCTGAATTTTAACGATGTACGAGTAGATGTACGCATTTCAGAACATTCGCATAACACCTTCTCTAAATCCTAGTGTTTCATTGCTATCGTAGCGTATTTTTGTTCTTTTTTTTTACATTTTAAGGTGGTGAAATATTTCATAAGTGCTTAGAAGCAGTCCACTCAGGTACACGCTCATTATTCAATCCAAATACAAAATACATGCCGTAAATTTTGTATTCCAACAAATTTTGTATAATTATGAATATATATATTTTGTATCAGGGAAATATTTAAAGAACTTAAGATAAGCACCTCTGGATAAACTTCAAAATGATAATAATATACTTCGAAAGAGGAATACGAGATATTATTAGTTAACGCAAAAGCGTTCAAAATTTTTTTTTAATCCTTTCTTATTATTATTGTTATTAAGCTCTATTATTATTATTATTATTGAAACTTCGATCCGTTAGAAGCAGATGTTTTCGAAACAAAATGAAATCGTTAACTTTGAAGCAGCACAGAATTTTCGTTAATGTTACCTTCGAAGTACACATTGTTATGATTTTACTAAATCAACCTCGATGATATTCTGAATCCTTCGGGTACGATCTCTGAGTTGTTAAATAAAAACTCACCAACTTAATTTGCAGTTTCTTTCGTTATAAGGAATTAATCTAAAGTCCTTTATTTTCTCAGTAATTCACAATTAAATTATAATGCACCTTACTATTTACAATCACTAGCATCAACCTTCACAATTTACTCTACTTAAATGTAATCTCCAACGCGTTTACTTTACGCCAACCAGTTCACTTTGTAACTAATTTAACTTGACAGCTGAGTGTCCCCTTATATAGCAGTCGGCTGCTCGCAGACGAAAGCGTAGAAGCATCGATTTGTTCGTTATGGAAGGTTCTTGTTTTATCGTTTCTAGAATGTACTAGTTATCGGCTTCTCTCTTTCATCTGACATTCGCTTCGCATTTTCGCAACACTGCCCTCCACTTAAGTCTGATCGTCCCGATCAGACACATTCGCTGTTCCAAACTCAAAATCGCTGGGCAACCGTAGTGCACTACCAAACAGTTTCCTCGCAGGTGTTTGCCCTGTAGTTACATGCACGGCGGACC